ATTGTGTAGCTGAAAGACCACTTATATTCTAATGAAAGAAAAATAATGTCAAAAGAAAAATGTGTTGTTAAATTTACTGATAAAATAGTTATTTTTATTATTTTTTTATAAATAATTATTAATACATCATCCATCAACAATTATTATATAACAAATATTAGTGAAAGATGTATTGTTAATTATCTAAAAAATAATTATGAAAAATAATAATTTAGTTAATGAATTCAACATCACTGTTAAGAAAAATATTTTTTTTTTAATCAAAATTTTATATTGTTTTGAAGGACAATCAAGTAAACCTATATATATATATATATATATATATATATATATATATATATATATCATGTGGGTTAACTTCTAGAGTGACAAATCTTTCACCCCAAATAAGATTTTATCCACTGCAAGTTTTTGCCGACCAGAGTGGGTAGGTGAAAAACAAACTACAAATAACCAAATTATTTGTGAAGAACAAAAGGCCTAAAGAGTTGTAGAAGAAAAGGCCAAATGGAAACACTAAAAGTTGAAATATGTTTGGAAGCTTTAAATCCTTAATGTGCCAGATGAACAAGAAAAGAAGAAAGAACATCTCATTTTAATCACATAAAATCAACCCAAATTCTGCTCTAAGATTCTTTCGAAATCTGGTGTCCTTGACCCTTTTTATGTCTCTGTCCCCACCATAACGATTAAACACAAAAAAATATAGAGGAATACAGCTCATGAAGGATCAGAAATGTCATTGTTCGATTAGACAAGAAAACGTGAAACGACGATATCTCTTTGATTTTGGAACACTGGTAAAAAGAAGTATGACCATCTATTATCTTCTCTATCTTCTGATTTGAGCATCTGTAGGTTTTTTTGCCTTTTCAGAATCAGACTTTTTTTCGTCGAAAGAAACCACCCACGGGAGTAAGGGTGGGCATTTGAGAGTTCAACGAAATAACAGCAAATCCTTGTAAAAAAAGAGCATTTGAGAGTGATTTTTTTTATAAAAAAGTTAATTAGCTCGTCGAGAAAGTGCCACAAGCTAGGTGGTACTTTACATTAAAAAAAAAAACAATATTTATAAAAAAAATTTTCTTCAAATATTCTCATTTTATATATTAGAGATAGGAATAATAATATTTAAAATCGAAACGTTTTTAAAATGTAAACTCTATACATTGACATTAGCAGAAAATCTGTATGAAACTAATTCGTTTACTACTATACTAATAATTTATTATTAAATAATCTGTTATATTTTTAAATTAAAATAATGTTAATACTTATGTATAAACAAATCCCTACAGTTACATACTTAAATGACTCCTCGATATCAAATCTTCTTAGCGATTAGAACTTCAGACTCTGTTCAGAAAAAGATAATAGCACATTATATCATCGATTTCAATATAAATTTGTAATTCTATATATATATATATAAAATAAAACTCTCCTTTATAATTAAATGCATATATAGAAGATGCTGGAATTTAATAATTTTAAACCCTTGTAAATTAACACATAAACAAAATGTGACACCAAGACAGGAACTTATAATTGTCCTAACTCATGTCATCCTAACCAGCATTAGATTGATGTAGTAATCGTAAAATAATTGTCAAATCTAAAGAGTTATTGACTGCTATATGCTATTTATTAATTACATATTGAAAAATAGGATGCCTAAAAATAGAGTAATTAGCAATAACAAGAGAGCCATCCTGGGTATCAACATTTATTCTTTTAATTTTCAAATTTTAAATTCAAATTTAATCAATCAACAACCTTAATTAGTCGTCGAACATTGAGTGATGGAACTAAGTTGGATTTTTCATCAAGTATATATGCATCCATACATATCATATTAGCTGATGAATCTTTGTACAAACAAAAATGGATCATCTGAGGCAAGGAGAGTAGAGACACCTAAAATTATGCATTATTTTTAGGCTTTTTACCTGTACTTTATTTCTTTTTTAGTAAGAAAAAAGAAAAGAATCAGAAACAATAGAATGGCCCATCATCGATTGGCCACAGGTGCCCATAATGCTACCCACTGCCCACAACCAAAATAGTAACTGTGCAAAACCAATTACTTCTCTCATGGTTTCCGCTATAATTAGCTAACAGCAAACCCTTTTGTGTGTGAAATTGCTTCCCCTACGTTGACTTTTATGGCAAGGAACAAAAGTATGAAAATGGGTCATGGGATTTTGAATCCGGAACGTTAACTATTACCGTGAAGGACAAAATCATAAATGGGGCTTATTCACTAGAAAAGTAAGACTAAGTGCCCTGTCCAGTGTGAAAGCATCCCTGAAAATCATGCCTGATTTTGCTTCTTGTCTATGGCACTTTCTATTGTGCAGTTGCTTGCACCAAAAACATATCAAAAGATCCATAGGTGCAACCATTGGACCGATGAAAATCTTGCATATCACTAGCTTTGTAGCCTAGAATCAGGCTAGAGGAAAGGTGTTGGTGGCAAACGAGTGGTTGGATTTTAGATTTCCCTCTTTGGGTAAACTAAAATGTACATAAGTAACTGATTTGATTGACTGAATGGGTGAGTTTGGGCTGCACCTACAAGCTCCTAGATCCTAGACCCACCTCATCTGGATTTTGGCTGCAACCTCTCTCGAGGACTGATGATGCAGCTTTTAGCCCATAATGGGACCTAATGGCAGGACAATAATGTGAAATATTGAATATAATTGTGAAATAGGAGATATTTTCAATTTCACTTGATTGCAAATTTCTTTTCGCTTTGACTCTCAGATTTTTGCATGTAGTGGTCGGGAAGAGAAGGAAAACCTGCAAATCCAGCCCGGAGGATGAAATGATTTTTTCTTGGTTTTTTTTTTTTTTCACTCTCTCTCTACTGACAATTGATTGACCATTTTTTTTACGGACTGCATGACAGAAAATGAAACACGTGTCGGTGATATGGATCACAAGTCATTTATTATGGATAAATATGAATATAAAAAAGGAACGTTAACATTTTTTTCTAAGAATAGACAAATAAAATATAAATGATTTGAAAATTGCATTATGTTACCATTATTGTTCAAATAGTATGAAATACACAAATTCAAACATATTTTTGGATTGAGGAAGTGTTTGAAATATGTATGCTAAATCCTTAGAAAGAACCACCGGTTAAAATGACTATATTGTCGTCCTTTTAATATTTGAATTAAGTGCCCAAGAGTTTTTTTGGACGGTTGATACTTGATAGTCTAAATTTATAGGCTTTTGAGCCTTCACGAATTTCAAACTCTCCAAATAGATATATAAAATAAACAAATAAAATCTTATGATAGCGTAAAAAAATATATGTATATATTAAGATTCGTTCCTTGTAATTAAGATTTCTATTTTATTTTTTTAAATAAAATAAAACGTTTGATTATTTGAACTTTTTAATTGGCAAAAGAGGAGGGAAAGAAAAGAACAAGCACTTTATTTGATTTTGAAAAATTTTGCCAAGTAATTGTTGGTTTTGAACGTTTTCTAGAATAAAAAGTAAAAACAACTAATTTTTTTTATTTCTGTTTCAATTTTTTTAAAAACAGAAAATATAAATGATTTAAAATCGATTTCTTAGTTTATGAGTTGATTTAGCAGCCCCTCGAGAGAAAAATCCCACAAAGGGCTTGTCAATTTCGGCTGCTATATGGACTCTAAGCAGGGTTAAGGACTGTTAATGAAGCCCAACTTTGAAGTTGAAATCATTTGTTAATCAGATAGTTTCCTTCAAACGACGTGGCAGGATTATTCATATTGCTTAGGTGGTAAGTGTACTATATATATTGAAAATCATGCTCATATCGTGAAGGGTTTTGCAAAAAGATAATGCTGAATGGGCTTAGAAGACATCGGGTGATATACCAAAATATTCTTATTATTATTTTTTATTTAAAGTTTCGAAAACAAGACAGTAGAGCCATACTTATTTTCTCTTTATAGTACTAGAGATTATAATATAAATAAGGGTAAAAACCATTCTATGCTCTTATACCATATAGTTCTGATCATTTTAATTTTCTGTTCAGTTATGATATAAAATATATTTATTCAAACCTTCTATCTAATTTCATTAACTCATTTTGTTATGTAATAAAATTAACGAGATGACATACCATCATTTATTTCGTGCCTTATATGATAAATCACACACGTATATACTTATTTATTAATTGGATGGTTATATAATATGGAAAAAGAAAAAGTTGCCACAATTTTTGTGAAGGAAAAAGACGTACACAATGAGTCGTAAGCCCCGTTCTGTTTGTCCGCAGGATTGCGGACCGAGTGAATTACTGTATATTTTCGGCCAAGTTAACTTCGGCAATAGATATGGGCTCCGCGCACGTCTCAGCCCTTTGTACGAGGCAAATTAATCTATTGCTCGAAGGTCTTCTGATTCCAGAGCTGCATTTCTGCAGAATTGGGCCCGGGGACTTTCCTGGGTCTGTAAACAACCCAACCACTCCGTCTCATAGCGATTTGCTTAACTGACTGTGACTACTCTTTATAAAACCGTTAATATAATATAACCAGCCGATGTGGGACATTCTGCACACTGAGCACAAAAGTAGCTCCATATCTTTTCCATTTCTTTCCTTGGTAGTTCTAAAAAGAAAGGATATATATATAGATTGGTACCTTTTCTTGTGTCTATGGTATCTGAGATTTCTTGACCCCTCAATTTTTGTGGATATGTTGGAACAAATTTTAAAGATTACACTAGATAATTTGCGTGGGGATTGATATTGTTCTTTTTTTAATTAGTCGTCCCCAAAAACTCCTAACGCTTCATTCCTCTCTTCCAAGCAATATCCAGTGATGTTAAGTAGCTTAGGGTTCTTTTCTTTGGCATTAATATTTTTGTGTAAGAAGCTCAAGATCAAGTCTAATTCTATTAAGTCTATTAGGTGTCTCATAGAGAATTAATGATAATGATTCTCAACGCGAGTGTGTTGGTCAAAATTGTGGGGCTGCAATTATCTAGCAATAAAACCTCGAAGAAGAGCAATCAATGTATTGATAGGTTGGTCAAAATTGGAGCCGTTCAAGATGTTGTCATGCAGACTTGGCTTGTTCCTTCTCCTGGTTTGGGTTTTGCTATTGCAAGCTGATGGTGCTGGCGTTGTGTTTGTTAGAAGTTTGTTTTTATTCTCTCTATTTTCAGTACATAATATATATATATATAAATTAACTTGCAAGAAATCTATTGACTAAATTTGAAATTAATATACTAAAATAAAAATTATTAAAATTTTGATTTTGATTAATTTTAATTATATAAAGAAGAAACAAATTAATAAAACATATGAATTTTTTTCCTCCTTCTTAAATATTTTTTTATTTATATGTTATGCATGGCTAGTCTTTGAATACAAGCCTCACGTGTAGAGCAGTTGATCTTCTTTTTTCTCTTCACATTTTACTTTCAACTATTAATTAATTAATTTGAGTTTTTTTTTAAAAAAACCATAAAACAATTATTTAAAATACACTTTTAATCTAAAAATATATTTTTAAAAAATTATATATATTAATCATGCCATTATAATTTAAAAGTTATCTAAATCTATTTTTTAAAGAAAAAATAATCATGTTCTAAATATTTATTCCAAAATCTATACATATAGAAAAATAAATCAAAACTATCAGCAAATATAAGTTTAAATTAATTGGATGAGAATTTTTTTTTAAAATGATAAATTAAAGTAGTAAATTGTAAATAATAAAAATAATTAACAAAAAACACTAAAAAAAAGAGTACCAAATCACAATATAATCAAAGTTTGAAATTAAAAAAGAAAAAGAATTTTTAAAAAAAATGACAAATTAATGTAGTAAATTTTAAATAATATAAAAAATCGAGAAAAAATTATTTGAAATACACTTTTTATCTGAAAATGTATTTTAGACAAATTATATATATTAATCATGCCATTATAATTTAAAAATTATCTAAATCTATATTTCAACAGAAAAAAAATCATGTTCTTAGAATTTTTTCAAAATCCATACATATAAAAAAATAAATCAAAACTCATCGAGTATATATAATTTTAAATTAATTGAATGAGAATTTTAAAAAATGACAAATTAAATTATTAAATTTTAAATAATAAAAATAATTAATAAAAAAATAAAAAATGGACCAAATCACAATATAATTAAATTTTGAAATTAAAAAAATAATAAATTAACGTAATAAATTTTAAATAATATAAAAAACTGAGAAAAAATTATTTGAAATACATTTTTAGATTAAAAATGTATTTCAAATATATATATATATATATATCATGCCATTATAATTTAAAAATTATCTAAATCTATTTTTCAAAAGAAAAAATAATCATGTTCTAAAAATTTATTTCAAAATCCATACATATAGAAAATAAATTAAAATTGTCGATAAATATAATTTTAAATTAATTGGATGAGAATTTTTTAAAAAATGATAAATTAAATTAGTAAATTTTAAATAATAAAAATAATTAGCAAAAAATATTAAAACAAAATATGATCAAATTACAATATAATTAAAGTTTGAAATTGAAAAAGAAAAGAGAATTTAAAAAAAAAAGACAAATTAAAGTAGTTAATTTTAAATAATAAAAATAATTAATAAATCAAAGTTTGAAATTGAAAAAAAAAGAGTTTTAAAAAAGGACAAGTTAAAATAGTAAATTTTAAATAATTAAAATAATATTAAAACAAAATAAGACTAAATCACAATACAATTAAAGTTTGAAATTGAAAAAAAAAACATAAACAAATCAAGGACCAAAGTGTTACAAAAATAACATAAATAATGAAATGAATAATGATTTATAAGTGTATGAATAATATTTTAAATAGTGACATAAATAGTAAAACATGGTTTTACTTTAGTTTTTTTAGTAATTTCATTCTGAAAAGCATTTTTGTGAAAATAGACAATGATGAACGAATGACGGACGATTGAGCAATATACTTTTTCTTCCACCATTGTCAATGCATGATCCTTATGTAAGATTAGCCTGAAAGAACAAAAATTAAAGTCATGTAAAATGCACAATATTGGAAAGGAATCTGATGAGCGCTCTGACCAACTCATTCTTTACAGTCGATAGTGCTAAAAATTTGCATCGGAGATTTAGGCTCACTTCTGAAGTTAAAACTTCTTTAAAATCAGCAAAATAAAAAATGGCCAGAAATTACACAAATCAATCTTCATTTTTGGCAACATCACTTATAAGAAGATTCCAGAATTTAACTCGTTGCTTATAATAGCCAATGTTAGTAAATAGTCCAAACTATTTGACAATATGTATTTGACAGAATCTAACAAAAAAACTCTATTAAAAAAAAAAAGAGCTTAAAACCTTGAGTTATTCAAGTAGGAAAAACAAAAATAAACACTCAAATAGAAAAAATAAATATATAACAATTCTTTGTTTCTCCAAGGCCTAGTTATTACCCAAAAAAAAAGTGTTCTAAAAAAGAGTAAAGTATAAATTAGTCCCTCTCATTTTAAGAAAAAATGAATTAGTCCCTCTAGTTTCAAAACCTAATTATTTATTCCGTTTAACCAATATTGACGACGACTAATTTAATTTTTTTATTTTATAAAATATATATTTTTCTCATCAATCTTTCCATATTTTTACTTAATTTTTAACTCTTTTCTATTTTTTAAACAAAAATCAAAATAAATTGAAAAATAGCAAAAAAATATTAAATAATTAGTTTTTGAAACCAAAGGACTAATTAATTCGTTTCTCAAAGTGAGAGGGACTAATTTATAATTTACTCTCTAAAAAAACATAAGAGAATCCCAAATGTCTTGTATGGCAAAAAAAAAAAAAAAAAAAAAAAAAAAGGAAAAAAATCATAATTTAAAACATAAGTCAAGCAGCGTCATCATTCCAAAAAAATTTAAAATACTCAATAAATATCTATCAATATTTATTTCATCAATCTATTTTAAAAAAGAGAAAAAAATACATCTCAACCTATAAAAAATAATAAAAATATTTCAATTCACACTTAATTTTTTTCTTTTATTTTATGTTCACTTTATCCTTATCTCTCTCTTGTAGAATAAATATTGATAATTATTATTTGATTATCATAAAAAAATAAATATATATTGTTACATACACTCATTAACATTTTGTTTCGTGAACTTTGTTGGTTATGAAAGTTTCTGATGTTCATTTGGTGTTAGGAAACCAAATGAGCTTTTAGGGTTCTGCTTAATGAACATGTCGATTTGACTTACTGCAATGTATGATTTTTTGGCTACATTGCCAAGAATTGGTGCTGCCAAGGACACTGTTTGTGCATTAGTGTTGATTTGCTCTAAGGATTTATTTCATGAATATATGCAGTCCGTGTGGCACTTTAGGACTTAAACAAAGCGCATGCATATTTGTTTAGTCTTTTAAAATTTTTGTATCAGATATTTAGGCTCACTTCTAAGGTTAAAACTTCTTTAAAATCACCAAAATAAAAAATGTCCCCACTTGTTCTATTCTGCAGATACATATTTATATGAATCTAAAAATGCATATGAAACAAGCAAAGGCATGCACCGAGAAAAAGAAAAACATGGGATCCACATGTAATTTCTCATGAAAAATCATTATATCATGTATGAAAACAACATTTGATCAAATCTGTCTTGTGACATATGGACACTTAACTTAAAGCCTGCAATCCATGCAAAAGTATGTCCCAAATAATAATTTGGTGTGCCATTTTGGTATGATGATACCATTTTGTTATGGGAAGAATGGAGACCCTCTTTGCTGGTCTTTGTATCCAATTCGTGACAACATCACTCATGTTTTTCTTAAATATCGTATCTAGGCACACTCTTCAAAGCAGCATGCCTTGGGCCGTGTTAACATTCAGATGTATTCTTTTAATTTATTAATGTACTATATATTTAAACCTTCATATTACATTGATAATACTTTTTTTGATGCAAGCTTTCTATTATTCTGTTTTTTCATTTTGTGTGTCAATGTCTAATGCTCTTCGATACGATATGTTGAGTCTCTTACATGAGAACAAATAATATAAGGTCATCATAAATAAATTTATTTGGACTGTTTTTGGATTGATTCCAAGATCCCTGAAATGGGATCAAAGGACCTGTTAAAGGCTCAAAAAAATTAGATACTTGAAAGGCTTGAGGTCTTGTCTTTAGATATCTATTATAAGTTTCTGTTAAGCGTCGACAAAAACTTTGAAATTGCTGAACATGTTTGAAAGATTAGAGTCCTTACTACCTGCTTGGGCTTATTATATGAGTAAGAATATTGAATAGTTATGATGAAATTAAATTTATATTTATATGAAGAACTTAAATAGTACCTGGACTCCTCTTGATCTTTCTATTTTCAAGTCAGTCTTATTATTTTTTATTAATTATCCTTAATGCATAGCTACTGCATCAAATGATAAATTATACTTACTTGTTTGTGTTTGATTATTGAGGAAGCTATGATGTTGAGAGAAGACCAGTAAAATCTAAGCACTACTAATCCTATTTTCCATGGTTATGATGCTTGATAACTTGAACTTTTTTGTTCTTATTGAAGATAAGTACTTTCAAATTCATTTAGTACCATTAAGTATTCTCATGGATAGATATCTAATTATTTTCCTTTGCTTCATGCGTTGATATCAGCTAGTTAGCTTTTATCTAAAATAGTCTGGCATGATGGTGGTAAACAATCACAAAATATGATTTCTTGGACAAGAATTATAAGCCGAGGCATACTCACCAACATCCCAGAAAAGAAAACACCATTTTTAAAACCAAATAACCCAAAAATCACCTTGTCTGGAAGAATAACAACAACAACAAATAAATGCAAGCAAAGAAATGAAGATCCACTCTTCTAGAAAAGCAGTATCATCACAAACGTGCTACACAATTGGATAAAAAGAACAAAAGATTAAGTTATGTGAAACTAATCAACAGCTGAAAGAACACATAAAAGAAAAAATGAATAGCAGCAATGAGAAAGTTGGAAAAGAAATCTAAACAATCACTAAAAGAGGTTATAAAACGGCATATCTTTGTAATAAAATTGCAAAGCAAATAACAAAGATGAGCCAATTGGGTGAATACAAATCAATCCAAACAAAGTAGAGCAAAAATTTGAGAAAGCAATATTCTATTGGAGTCCCAAAGAGAAGAACCCGCACCCGCGACAAGACAGTAGACACCACCCAAAGTGAAGGAAAGGAAGAGAAGAAACCAAGCAACCCATACAATGAAGATTGAACAGGAGAGAGGGAAAAAATTGAGACCCAATGAAATTGAACTGGAGGGAGGGATTAAAAACTACTGTACCAACAAAAATCAAACCAAATAAGCAGCACCAATCACGAAATAGAAGCAACAGGGAAGGGAAAAGAAATCAATTCGAAATGTCCCCACTAGAAAAAATCAACTCGTTCTACAAAAGGAAGGAACAAAATAATGGCACTAAACAGAGTAGAAATGCTTTGTCGAAGATGGAAAGGAACAGTCAAAAGAGAACAAAGGAAGCCGCAAAGAAAAGAAGAATAAACGGCAAAAAAAGTAACAGTCCAAATGCACTAAACGGTAGAAATGATATTTATAGTAGGAAAAAAAAGGTAAGAAAAACGAAGAAAAAGAAAGGCACGGAGGAAGAAGAGAACGGAGTTTTAAAAGAAGGGCAAAAAAATGAGAACCAAGCGACTGGAGAAAGAAAAGGAATGAAAGAAAAAGAGGGTAGCAAAAAAAAAAAAAAAAAAGGGTTTTGGGAACAATTAATACATAATTACATTATATCTGCGTGAACAGTCACTTACACAGTAGTCTTACGTTTTCTTTTAGTTTTTTTTTTTTGTTAACATTAATGTTAATTTTTTTCATGAAGTACTATATATTTATATTTACTAAATATTTATGATGCTTTAAGTTATTGTTCGCAAGTAAAAATAAATAAAAATACACTTAAATTTCATACATAACTTTAGATGGAATAAATATAGTATCGTTATCTTTTCATTTTTTCTATAATCTTTGATTTTCAACAATAAAGATATAATATAGCTGTTTGAAGAAGAAAGAAAGCATGATTTACATGGATGAACTACATTTTTGTAAAAGAACATAACAACTTCAGTAATAGAAAATATGCAATATACGATTGTTCACAGCTCATATTGTACCCCCATCATATATATGTAATGCCTTTATCGTAGAAAATGTAAATCTTATTTATCATACTTCTATATATTACTCACATTAATTGTATTTTTTTTTTTTCACTTAACTTCATTGTGTACGTGTTAAATGGGTAATTTAGCTCAACCTTGCATTATTTCAAAAAAAAAAAAAAAAATTTAATACAAGTGTGAACAAGATTTTCTTTAATAATAATTGAGACTTTGGAGGAAACTAATAGTGTAACTAAAAAATATCAACCTATTCATTTTATCCCACAAATGCAGCCTAATGTTCACTTATGAAGCATAACAGTTGTTCACTACTACAGTATTCCCTAAGAACTGTATGTGTGTGTGGGGGAGCTACTATTATGACTTGTAAAATTATAATTGTGTTCCGACATGTATGGTTTTTTCTTTTTTTAACAAATTTAAATACCATTCTATATTGTACAAGCATATTAAAATATCAATAACCATGTCTAAAAACATGATGTTTAAGTTAGCTCATGATTTATATAAATAACATACAAGCATGAAGAGTTCTAGTTATCGTAGTTAAACATACTTATTTTTATTTTCTCGACATCTTTTTCTTATTTTGAATATATTATATATAAAAAGACACTATTTTCTAATCATATATATATATATATGATTAATTATAATACTTAGTTTGGTGATATTCTTTAATATACCTCTCTGCTGATTAATTTCATTAAATTAATAGTTATATGTGCAATACGTGACTAATTTCAACGAATTAATAAAAATATCCCTTTAAATAGATAGTACACAAAAATTGATATTCACATGCGTTCCGCATAATAGTTTTAATATGCAACTAAGCTTACTCAGATTTGAATCTCTCTACTAAAACTTTTTTTTTTTTTTAGTTTATTGACTTAAATATGTATTTTCACCAATTAATATCGAAACTGTCATGTACTATACGTGTCACTGTTAATTTTAATGAAACTATGACAACAAGTATATTAAAGAACAAAAACAAATTAAAAGTTACAATTGATAATTTTTTTTTCAAGTATAATTGATAAATGATGTAATATATAATGGTATATTGATAAGTCCTCTTAAGAACAAAAAAGTCCAAAAAAAAACCCAATATCAAACCTGATAATCCACTCAAGGCTCTTAGTAATTTTAATCAATATTGTACACTGATTGACAATAAAACAAAATAAAGATTCACTGATATACCTTTATTGTTACCGTATTACATAAATAAACTTAGATGACGGGAATGGTACTTTACTACTTCTTAATAAAGCTACACAAAAAATATCAAATCACAGCAATTTTTTAATTTTGACATAAACTGAATTACTCCAGCACTGACAGAAAATGCCAAATATATATTACAATATGCTGTTTAAATTTTCCTTTTAATATCATTAAAAAAGGGGATAAATGTAATATAAGTACATCAATTTCTAATTTTTTTTCAATTGAATATATTAATTTTAATTTTTTTATTTATTAGATAACATCGATTTTTTCAAAACCGTCGATTAAGTAGTTTTGTTAATTTATTTATTAAGTGATGATGTGTCCATTACTTCTAGAATACCAAATTATAATTATAACCTTGATTTTTTTTTTCAATCGAATATATGAATTTTAATTTTTTTTTCCTTTAAATGCATAGATTTTTTCAAAATTGTCAATAAAATACTTTTATCTCGTTTCTCTTTTAGCTAATGAAGTATCTGTCACTCATAGAATACTAAATTACTAATTTTTCATTTTTTTTTATTAGAGGGAACTTCTTCTTTAATCGATTAAGTCTCTATTATTCTTAGAATATCAAATTATAATTTTAACTTCTTATTTAATCGATTAAGTCTCTATTATCCTTAGAATATCAAATTATAATTTTCTCTCTTTTTGTTGCAGTATAATTTTGTTCCCAAATTATTCTACCATTTCAATATTTAAAAAAATTAAAAAATATATTATTTTTTATTTACAAAACCTCAAACTAACTTTAGTTAGGTTTAGGCGTAAAAAATAAAGAAAAACACTAATGTGAGATTTTTCGTCAAGAAAATTCATTACTTGTGAGCATTTAAGGGAAAATTTTATTGAAAAAAAAGAGAAAATTATAATTTGTTATTTTAGAGATAACGAATACCTTATCAATTAACGAAAAAGCCGATGAAAATATTTTATTGAAAGTTTTAAAAGCAATGGTGTGCTAAAAGGAAAAAATAAAATAAAATTCATATGCTCAATTAAAAAAAAGATAAAATTATAATTTGATATGCTATGGTAACAAATACGTCATCATTTAATGGTAAAATTGACGAAGTACTTAATTAGTAATTTTGAAAAAAGTTGCGTATTCAAATAAAAAAAATTAAAATCTATTTATTCTATTAAAAAAAAATTGATATATTTATAATGTAATCATCCCTCAAAACAACTTTCATGCATAGAAAATTATTAGTGCACACGCTGACTTTACTTCCACCTTTTTTTTCTTTTTCTGTAAGTAAACATTTATTTAGAAAATTACTAGTTTTCGGTAGCGCTACATTACGGGTTAGACATAACATATGAAATTATTTTTTAAAATAATTTCATTTTGTGGTACGTGTTATGTTATGAGTCTACTAAAATATATCAAATCGGAGATAAAAAAAAATTATATATATATATTTTTAAATTATGTGTTTAACTAATTATTCATTATGTTTTTTTTTATAAAGTTTATGCTAAAAACAACACGATTTATCTTTTTATATTCCGATTCTTTACTAAAAACTTGAAAGAAAATTCAAAAATCCATGAATTCTTAATTAAAATTTTTCCCATAAAATATGAGATAAATTATCTAAAAAATACTTTTAATCTTTTATATATATCATTTAAAAATTTAAAGAATTCATTATATAAATTATATAAAAAAAATTAAAAGTAAATATTCATATTCCAAAAATTCATTAATATATATTTAACCATGCCACTATCGTTTAAAAATTAAATGAATTCTTCATATAAATTATATCATTTTAAAAAAAAACAAATAACATTATTTTAAAAATTCATTAAAAATACATACATAGATCTCTCTTTCCTTTATTTTCTTGTTTTTTTTTGTTTCTCTCTCTTCTTAATACGAAGAAACCAGATTAAAATATAAATAAAGTTATTAATTAAAATAAAAATTATTGAAAAAATGAGAGATAAAAAAATAACAAGAGTAAAACTTTACGTATAAACTACATAAAAAAATATTAAAACTACTAACAAAAAGGTAAATAATGATGTGGATGGAATAAATATTTTTTAAAAAATTAAAATAACGAAAATGCTACTGATTTAAAATTATAAAAATGCCATCAATATTCTATTAATGTGTGAATATTCTAAGAATAATAAAAAATCCACCTTTTTATGGTCTTTTTTGTAATACTTAGAAAAAAAAACCAGAAAACTGGTTTAGCCTTTGCTAAATGCTAAAATGCGCCGAAGATATATTGCTCCAAAATCTCTTTTCCCTTGCTACATTTAGAATCTGGAGAGACTCATTTCGCGCTTCGTGTGAGCTGAGTTGAGAAATGAGTTGAGAGTGAGAGTTTCCTCTCCTTCAAACCTCTCTCACTCTCTCACCCTCACCCACTACCACTACAGTACGATTCTCTCCTCTCTCTCTCCCTCTATTTTTTTTCTTCTATTGGAATTCAGTATATAACAATGCAATGCATAATTTTGATCAGTTTATAATTCTCATTTTTGACTTTGGCATCCAAGAGGTTTTTGTTTCGGAAAATTTCCAATTTTAGGGTTTTAATACTTTTATTTGTTCGGTTTGTGCGATTTTTAATTTCTTCTACTATTAAATTTATCCTGGTATTTTTTTTTCTTTTTGAAAGAAGTGATAACTATCATGATAATTCTGTGTGGTGTTTGATTGGGGTTTATTAAGAGTTAGTGATTAAATTTGTGTGATTAAGATATATTGTTCATCATGTGTTGAAGTTTGCGCTTCATACATTTTTTTCTTTATTTAGTTTTCATTGCTCGCGTATGTGTTTTGTAATGAGAAAAAATTGATCATAATAAGCTTTGAATTTCTCATCTATCTAATCTTGCAATTTTTTTTATTAAATATTCGTGAATGAAACATGCTTAAGGCGTGAAACTAATGTTTTGTTCTTTATGTGGGTTTTTGTGGTTGATCATTGATTTTGGTATTTAAAGTTGATAATGATTTTTTTGCTTTTTGGGACTATTGCATGATGGATTCACAAAGGAAACCAAAGGGTTTTTTGATGGAAAGAGGTTGGTGGATGTCGACTAACCTGGCAAATGACAGTATGCATGCTAGGAATTTGAAGAAGAATCAGCTTGGAGGTGTAATATTTGGTTGTACGAACAATACTATAAAGGAATGCTTATTCAAACAACTCTTTGGTTAGTCATTTGCATTTATTTTATTTCCTTATTTGTTTTATAGTATGTTTTAGATACTCCTATTACTCATTAGTAAGATGATGCTCAAGTGATGTAACTGGTATCGATCTTCTTTGAATGAATTCTTGCATGTGGCATTTGCTATGTTAAATGTGTTTTGACAGAAGGATTCTGGTCCTTAGCTTGGCCTCCTTGCTGTTGAATTATTGAAGCATCAAAGGAGAGAAATGAACTTTTGGATTTTTTTCTGAAAAAAAACAAAAAAACAAAATGATGTATTGAGCGGCATGTTAAAGGCTGTTATATGATTAGGCTCTATTCATATCCCAGGAATCATAAAATTTTTCTTTCAATTTGAACAGGTTTACCGGGTCAGCATTTTTCATATGTAAAGAATATTGATTCCGGCCTGCCACTCTTCTTATTCAACTATAGTGACAGGAAACTTTATGGAATGTTTGAGGCTGCTAGCTCTGGCCAAATGAACATAAACCCGTATGGCTGGACTGCTGATGGTGCACAGAAAACACAATACCCTGCCCAGGTATTAAATGAAGGTTTGTCATAAATACTCAAGTATTTTCAGTCATACGGTTATATCCAGAACAGTTTGCATTATAATCAAGAATACTGTTCTTCTGATATTATGGTTCTGTCAACAAGGTTCAAATTCGCGTGCGGCTGCAATGCCAACCACTACTTGAAGAACAGTTTAAACCAATAATTGCAGATAACTACTACAATCACAATCATTTCTGGTTTGAGCTTGACCATGTTCAAACCAGCAAGCTGACATCCTTATTAGCATCTTTAGCAGTTGCACCTAGCACTTCTGTACTAACGCAGAATACAGAGAAGTGGAGGACTATATTCCAAGCTCGTCCCTTACCTGAATCAAGAGAGGAAGCTGAAGAGGGAAACTCACCTGCTTCAGAAATTGACCATGCTGATAACTCGAGTACAAAATTGGATTCTATGGACGTCGCTTCTTCAGATGTAAACAAGCAACCAGCAAAAGGTCAGTTGGATGTGACGGCGGTGGAACAAGAAGAGAAAGAGTTAATATTCAAAAAACTGCAAGAATTGGCTCTCAAATCTGGAACTCAAGACTTGTCTTGGAGGGATTGCACAGAGGATTCTCTTCCTATAAATGATATGCACTTGAAAGAGAAGGATTCTGCAAAGAAGCAGATGGGTTCAGAGGAAAAGAATGATGAGAATCCTTGTACTTCATCTGGTTGTCGATCTATCATTGCTCAGGTGGTGGAGTTTATCTGTTGTGTATTTATCTTTTACTTCATCTCATGAATGAGGACATTTTATTCAACGACATTCTTTTCGTTCTTTCTCACTCCTTTTGTTCTGTCTATTTTTGTAGTTGGTTGAAGGGATGGAAGAGCTTAAGGCTTTTAGAACAGAACAAACTCTGAAGATGGGTTATTTAGAACAGAAGCTGGTACTGTTTAAGTTCCTCAATACTTGTGTTTTTGCAGTTGCTATGTTCTAGATGTTGAAATGTCTCTTTATTTAACCTTCATTCAGATTGAAGTTGATTGTGCTAGTTTTGTAAGTAGTTGAACAAACAATGGGATTGAAATAGCTGTATTATATTTTTGTTGAGTGATTAATGGACTGGTCCATAACCAGTAATAGCCTCTTTTATTTATAGGAATAAATATACTTTGCAATTCAGTAACTATTGTATATAACTATATTAGGTGGATTGATGTTTGGAAATACATTCTTCTAGGAAAAGAAAAAAAGTTCAAATTAAATTGAATATTTCCTCAGAGGCTAAACTAGAAATGCTGAAGTTAAAGATTCTTTGGCATTGCTGGTCAGTGAAAAAGGGAATCGATGCGATTGATTACATGAAGCTATAAAACTATGTGTAGGTTAAAAACAATTGCATACGAGTAGATTATAAATTTGATAGATAATTTTATTCTAGTTTCCTGAAGTGCCTCAGTTCAGAAGATGATATAATATACATGTGGCAATCCCCATGTGCTGTTCCTCCATAATTAGAGTCAGTATACTGATTGAAGATTCGAACATGTGGCATGTTTGATTCATGTGTACCATATTTTCTGAACTTCATCATCAGATTGCATCTGTTTCTGCAATATTAAGCATCAGAATTTAGATATCTATGCTATTGCCCCCAGCTTTAAACTCTGCCCCTTTTCCTTAGAATATCTGTTATAGCTTATGGCACAATGTTCATGGAATCCAGTCCATGCTTGTATTTATCTATTTTAACTTATATGATGTATATGTTTTGATGAATAGCTTTGTCAATGGCATTCAGGTTGAGGCCGAAGAACAAATTCAACAATTGAAAGATCGATGTATGATGTTGGAATTTATGTCTAATCCTTCCAAGTCAGGCATTGCTGAAACAGTCAATGATTCTGTTGACGAACAGCATTTGGATCCTACTGATGCCATCCATGTGATGGGGGGATATGATGGTGAATCATGGTTGTCGGCTTTTGGTTTATATTTTCCTTCACAGGATGTAATGAAATCTTTGAGGCCTATGAGCTGTGTTCGTTCATATGCTTCAGCTGCACAGTTTCATGATGAGCTCTATGTTTTTGGTGGTGGAAATGGGCAGTTGTGGTATGAAACAGGTATTAGCTCGTACGATTTCATATATTTTGTTTGTTCTTAAATCCTGTTTATGCCTAATGTTTCTTTTATTTCATATCAAGTTGAATCATACAATCCAGCTAATGATCAGTGGATCCCTCGCCCATCCCTTTCTGAGAAAAAAGGGAGTTTGGCTGGCGCTACTTTAAATGACAAAATATTTGCCATTGGTGGTGGAAATGGGGGCGAATGCTTTGCAGCTGTTGAAATGTTTGATTTGCATATTGGAAAATGGATCCCAACAAGGTCGATGCTACAAAAGGTAGAAGTTACTGCTTGGCTTGCTTTATATTTCTTTTGGTGGATCTATTTGTGATGCTTTTGAGTTCCAAAAATTTTAGAACATTTAGGACTTGACAATTATATCGTTTGTCATGGATGAAGTTTGTCATAAGAGGTTCTTTTGCTTGTGATTTTCCTATCCGCCTCTTATAATATTGTTTTTTCTGTTTTTTTTTGGGTTTTTTCTTTCTAGTCTGCTTTTCATGACCTTGAGTAACTCTTTCAATGAATTTGATATGTTTGGATAACCTGATTAAAGGCTGGTCTACTGTTTTGTTTCCTTTTTTTTTTTTTTCCCCTAGCGATTTGCTCTTGCAGCCATGGAACTCAATGGTGTACTTTATGCAACTGGTGGATTTGACGGTAGTGATTATTCAAAGTATGGTAACATGCCCCTCTTTTTGTTTCATTACTAGATCATGTGTTCTAAACTGGTACCCTTGCTGAAATTTTTGAAGCATGTAATTCTTGTATGAATACCTGCAAACACATATGCAAGTGAGCATGCATGCACAAACATAAAGGATTGAGATGAGATTGAGGATATGGAAGTTGAGGATGTCTACTGTTTCTGACAGTAGTTTCTTGAGTTGATAATCGCATCTAGATGTAGCCTGCTTGAAGTTTAGTTTGCTTCTTAATTGTTGTTTTCTTCTCGATAATGTTGGCTCAGGAACCTGTAGTTTACAGATTTTTACTGTCTGAAAGGGAAATTATGGGTATCTAATCTGCTAGGAACATATTGGAAATGACCTCCACATGGGAAATCCATTATAATTGTAATTGTTCTTTCAGGACTGCTGAAATGTTTGATCCCAGAGAACATTCATGGAGCAGAATTCCAAGCATGAATGCAAAGAGGGGCTGCCATTCATTGGTTGTTTTGAATGAAAAACTGTAAGTTTACGTTTCTTTAGTGTGTTTAACTCAGCAGTTTGTGTCACTATATTAATGAGCTTACGCATGGTAGTCCTACCCAAACTGAAAACAGTATGTTTAAATACAACAAGTAGCTTCAGATACGAGAGAGAAGTATCCCCCTTAGGCTGCAGAGAAGAGACTCAAATTTTCAATAATTAGAGATGTAAAATAATGGATGTAGCATCCCAGCAGTTTTTAGGCAACTATTTCATTTATGTGAATTATCCTACTTAATTAGTTTCACCATCTGTGATTTTTTAGTATCTGTATCATGATGTATGCTTGCAGTTAATTATGGAAAATTCTGTGTGTAGATATGCTCTGGGTGGTTATAATGGAAGTACAATGGTTTCAAGCACTGAAATATTTGATCCTCGTCTTGGCTCATGGATCCCTGGGGAACCAATGAACAAGCCTAGAGGCTATGCTGCTGCTGCTGTCGTGAAGGAATCTATACATGTTATTGGAGGGCTGGAATCTGCTGAAAACATTTTAGATACCGTATGCTACCTTCTGCAAATATATTTATCTTCTGACATTGATCTGTCTTTTCACAGATGTGTTCTAACCCCCTACAAAATGGCAGGTCGAACATTTCAAGGAGGGTCAGGGATGGCAAGAAAAGAAGTCGAGGGCCATCCAGAAAAGATGCTTTTTGTCTGCTATTGCCTTGTAAATCACGGAAACTGTTGAAGATCTTTTTGAGAGTTAGGAATTTCGGTTTAAAGCTAGGCCATTAGAAATAGGTGCATCCCAGCAAAGGGTTTTTTGGTATCAGGACATGGGATGCAAGCTACACGTATTATAGAATTGTTCGAGTTCTTGAAACTTCAATCGCATTATGAAATAGATAGTCAAGGGATGCTGATAGATATCAAATTACCTGTTATATTGGGGTAGGCAACGAAACAAAGAGGAGCTTGAAACATGACTGCTGTCTGTCAGTCACAATCTAGACGGTTTGTGCTTGATCTTGAATTCTGGTTGCAAAGATGGGATCAGGACTGCAGTCTTCCTTTCATCAGATTGTTGATGTGATCCTTAAATCTTCTTTTCATAGAAACATGGATTGGGGAAATGATGTCTGTTTGTAACCGGATATGTGTAGGTTCAAAAAGAGGGGATAGGAACATAGTTTTGGCATGTAGATTCCAACCGAATTTATATTTCGATTTCTGGAGGGGTCCTAAAAGGACTGGATTTTTCTGAACACATTGAAGGGACTAGACCTTGCCCACAGGAAAGCATCAGAACGTGCGCTGCTTGTACTTTTGAATGTCCTACATGATACTCTTCATTAACGCATGGACCTTTTGATAATGATCTTTCAATTTGTGGTGAACCTTTAGTTAAACTGTATTGGTTCACGGATTTTACTAAACTAGGCTTAAAAATATGGTAAGGGCAAGAGTTTCTTTTTTTTCCTTTACAAAGCAAAAAATTCAGATGACAATCAAAGAAGGTAATATTAGTTTTTAAGTAACATAATGATTATATTTAACTAATTCAGATATATATGTATAATCTTTTTCAAAAATTCTAAGGTAATTGAAATGTCACGCTGTCACTGCTCAACTTTTTCTGAAATTTATATGTATTATACAAACTTTCATTTATACAATCAAATGATTACAATATTCTAAAAGAAAAGAAAAATTAATTATAATAATGCAATTTATTATTATATATATGATATTAAACTATTAAAAATATTATTATTATACTTAATTAGTAAAATTATTAAAATAATATAAATCAAACTAAATTTATTAATAATTATTAATATATTTACAGCATCTATTGTAGTAACTTGCAATTATGATCACAATTGCTTTTACAAAGAAGGTCTCGATTTAAAACAAGGAATGAGGCTAACATAGTGGTACGGGCAGGAAGAAGTTTCCTCCATTTTATCCTCACCACCGGTTGCACAGAGGTTATGACTAATGTCCTCAGCAGTGAGGACATGACAAACCTACTACTATGATTCAATTCCACGGTCGAAACCTTGATGTAGGACATCATTTCACATGTCAACACAAGTTTCATCACCTACAAACAATCAGCGTACAAGTAATCCATTTTATCCTTAAAATGTCCTACCACAAGGTTTCGACCGTGGAATTGGGATCCAAGAGTTCATCTGATAACAAAACTGGAAACATGGCAGCTTTCTTAGCAACCCGGGTCACTCAAGGTGTGGTGGTATCTTCAATATGATTTTTTGGGAAATTGGCAGCTTGGCTTGGCTTGGCTTGGCTTCCATGAGTGGCTTCACCACCAATATGGTAGCAGAGCTTTGGGGTATTTCACAGGGGCTTGTGGTAGCGAGAGATAAAAGGCCTCTTTCCTCTCTAGATTTTTTTGAAGTGCTCAAATGCCATAAGTTTCAGGTGTGGCTGACTCCAGGCACGAGATCCATTCTTGATGCTGATTGATCGGGGACTGTTTTTTTTTCGTGGCTAGTTTCTTTCTTTTGCTTATGAAAAGAATTTGACAGTAAGACCAATAAGACCCACCATTACAAACAATTGTTCATACACTAAAGACTGATCAAGCTTCATTAACATCAGAATAACAGATGTTATTGCTGTAGTAACATCAAAACCAAATTTTAAGACTGACATAGAGAATGAACACAAAAATCAATTGCAAATCTGCAGCGATATTACCAGAGGAATTCAGGCACCGAATGAACTTAAGTTGAAGGGTGGGGGTGGGGTTTCTCTGTTATTGATAGATACTTCAAATTAAATCTGCCAGGTGCCTACTGTATTTACTTGATCTCAGAGTTCCAATTTCAAGCACCTGTCAACTGATTCAAACCTTTTAGGTTAAAAAGATGAGGTACATACGTGCAGGAGCTAAGAATGTTAACAATTGCTTCATCATTATATGACTGCTTCCTTTCTTTCGCCACAGTACTCATTTAGAAAAGTACGACGTACAGCATATGCATAATCTCTAAAAACAAAATGGCTATATCAACGCAGAATATACCTTTGAAAAAAGAAAGAATTTGAGGGCTCCTTAAAGCATACCATCGAAGGATACAAGCACCATCAGCAATATCCAGAATCTTCCAGGGTTTCCAGCCTACATCTTACATCCATGAAAATACCTTCAACATTTTATGCCAAGTAAGTGAACCTAGAAAACATATTACGGAAACAACAATAAAGATGGAAAGACTTGAGATCCAAAATTGCCCAAGACATACCTTTCGTTAACCAACTTATCATTAGACATCAACAGACACAATGTATGATCCAACCTACAGGGGAAGCCATCTGCTTCCACAAATTCACATGCATAGTTGTCAAAGTATAGCGGTGACCAGAGCATTTACAGAACAACCATGAAGGGGTAATTGACCTCAAGCTAGCTGTATCTGATTTGAAGAAAAACAAACAAGTTTCCTCAGTAAGCATCCTTTTTGTTCAAAATTATCCCAAGAAGAATCTTATCTAGACCATTTTCCTGGATAAGATATCACTTTGGACCATCACAATGATTGTGAGAGAAAATAGGGTATATCATCAACTCTGATACATCAAACTTCTAGCTATCAGATAGCATGAACACAGTGAAGATCCGTGACAAACAAAATGTGTTAAGCAACATCAAAAAACCTCAGTCCTTCTGAACCAAGCAAAAATGAACATCTTTTTCCGGGCAAAGATAAACCAATTCTCGTTTTGGACCTCCACAGCATTTTGCGAAGTGACAATCCTCAACAAAACATTCCATACCTATACACATCCTTAATGTGAACAAACCGGCTTTTGGAGTTCTGTAAAAGGGCGCAATAAAAGTAAATTTCTTGACCTCATTGCAGCCTGCTAATACGTTCAAATCTAAGAAGACAAACTGAGTTGACTCCTGACTCATTGCTATGGTAAGCCACAACCTATTCTCACTTACAACATTGTACAAAGTAATATCCAAAGGTATAGCCACAGGTAGTCCAGAGACAAAAGGAAGAGGATTTTCAGAATCATTGCCCAGAACATCCAAATCTGCATTTATATGCCTTACTCTTGAGCATAAACTGAACTGCTTAGGGGTGAAGAAATCAACTGATTTTCCAAACAGGAAGGGACTGCATGAGATACCACCATTAGAAGTGCCAATCTCATGCACTGTCTTCTTAGCGTCCATTAAGATATCAGATGGTTCAATAGATCCTTTATCATTGAGAATTTCTATAAGTGAAATTATAGCAGACAGTCTTTTCAGAGTAGTAGGACACCAGTAGATTTCAACTTTGGATAACCTTAACATACAGGCGACAACTATAAGCTCCAACACATGCAACTCCTCTTCCTTAGAAAGCCCTATAAATCTACACTGCAGCTCTCTGAGCCTTATGTCCAATTTCCCTAATAGAATCTCCAATCCTCCTGTTTCATAGGACCGAATGTTCCATACAACAAGCTCCCATATCTTAGCAAACAGTTTCATTACCCGGAGGTATTGCATTGTAAATGCCAATGCACCAGCAGATTCAAGCGATGCAGGAGTAAACATTGTCAATTCTTCCTTGCAAGCCCTGCACGAGCAACAAAATTAGTATCGTATCAATACAGGGGAATTAAACATGGCAAGGAAAAGAACCATATAATTAGAATACAACCTTAGAGTCCTCAATGCTACATTAGTGCACCTTGATTGTACCAAAAGCCAGGTATCTCTGACCCTTGCAAGGATAAGGTTCATTGATTTCATGACTTCGTCATGCCCTTCTAACTGGTATTCTACAATTGAAGTTGATAAATCCCCAAATTCACATGATATCACAGGCAGGACTTCAGAAGTTTCATTGCCAGTTTGTAGCATGGGCATCCCAACAGGACTACCGACACCATCATTAACAGTGTCATTAACTACAGGCAGTAATGACTCCTCTTCAACTTCTTTGTCAGAAGTAGAGGATCCACTGCACTGAAACAAATATGCCAAAAGTGTATTTTGGTCTACGACTTCTTTCAAAGCACAAGAGATCCTCCCTAGCAAAGTTACTGCATAAGAAAAAAATCTAGGTGGAATATTTAGACCATTCTGATCTTGTGAGAGTGGAGCTGAGATGGCAAGTACAAGAAATGCAGCCACTCTTGCACTATCCAAGCTCAATTGTCCCTCCGAAACTGGCTCTATCTGGATTCAAAGAAAGTGAATAATTGATCTCTATAAAACAGATACTGGTATGAAAAAATAATAAAACATAGAGTTGTACCCATTGATGAAAACAAAATGATTTATGATTTCAAATATTGGAAAAATTATTAACAGAGACAAAAGGAAAAGAAGAAGAAGACCACAAGTTGACCCAACTAAGAATTCTTCCTCTCTCTGTGGGGACTGTGAGCAGTTATATGTGTTGCATTGAGAGTAAAACAAAGAAAAACTATGCATTGCCATGAACATGAAAAAATAAACCATAGGTTATGGAACAAAGCATCCTATAGACCCTAGAAATTCAAAATATATGACTAATGTGTAAGAGATCAAGAATGTATAGCCCATCTAATCATGCTTACCTCTTGTGAAACTTCCTTGATAATGCAAGCAGCAAAGTTCCCATGGCTTTGACCCATAAAAAACAAAACAGAGAAGACATCAGCTTCATCCTAGAAGAAAGAAAGTTTCGAACCCAGTTAAATAAAGAAACAGAAGAATCACATCTTCATATTAAGGGATGCATAAGAGCTTCTTTTTTTCTTTTTTTCCAAAAGGATATCTCACAATATTGCTTCTGTTCTCCTTCTCGGTTTTTTTTTTTTTTTTGCCCAAGCCTTTTGTGGTTGGAGGAATGGAGGTAGAGAGGATCATACCAAACCGAGTCATAATGGAGAAGCAGCTGACCTTTGGATGTCTCTCCAAGTTCTGAAGGAGGCCATGAATAGATAGTCTAAATAACTTCAAATCAGGCAGCTTTGCCAATTTAAAAATTTTTCTTGTGGTGGATCTTATTAGATCACAGTTGTCAAGTAGAGTGCCCAGAAACTGAAAAATAAAGAAATGCTTGCATTATAGGCAACTACACTTGTGATTAAAAAAAGTCTGTAAGTCATCATGTTCAAAGAAGAGTCTGACACATGCAAATAATTTGTTAACATAAATAATTGGTTCTCAAAATTAACCAAAAACCCATTATAAAGTGTGTGCTGTGAGATATATATATATATATATATAGCGAGCTTGTGCACATGTGCATGTGAGTAGGGGAGGGGCATATATGAGAGAGAGAGAGAGATAAATGAAATTTTTGGGAGCATCTACATAAGAAACGTTGCAAATGAAAATTTAAACAGCCAGTATCACCATGTCTAAGAGAGACTTCCTGTCCTCATCAAATTGGATTGAAGATGTTGAGCATTTAAACATTATACTAGATGCAATATCCATTCAAGATTTGCAAAGAAGGATGCAAAATTTACCATATGCATGTGTATCTCTTGCACCTTTAGACACCCAAAGATTGCCATCTGCTGCAGTGTTTCTAAAGCTTCTAACCTTACAGCCATTGAATCATCATTCAGCACGTCCATCAACAGGGTCAAGGACTGACCAGCAAACTCAGCACAGAGGGTGGTGTGAGTGCGCAAAGAGTAACAAGCAGACTTTCGCACCTTCAAACAAGAACAAAGTGTCAAAATCTTAATTGATAGGTATTTGGAAACATGTTTGGACTGCTGACAGTACATATGATAAAAAAAATGGAATCTAATATGGTAGACTCCACTATATTTTTCAATTTCAACCATCTTCTATAGCTATAAGCATAGGAGAAGATATGAAGGGTCCAATCAATTTTAAAATTATATCGACATCTATATAAAACAAAATCACTATAGCCACAGCCATAAGATTTAGTGAAACAAAAAGGTCCGCCCAAGTTACCTGATGGAATTCATCCTCAAGCCCATGCAGAAAAACTCCAGCATAACTAGATGCCAAAACCTCAACCATTTCTGCAGTGCACTGACCATGGGAATTCTTCTTTTTCATGATTGCTAGGACTTTTTTTGATAGAGTTTGCAATAAAATGTCTTCAGATACCAACTTTATCTTGCCAAGAGCATTAAAAGCTTCCACCCTGACCTCCACACTCATATCTCTTACCATAGAACAGAGCTGCAAGCACATTTGGAAAAGCATTTACTAGTAATTATTCATAGATACAAATTGGAAAAGGATATTTATGGGTCGAAAAACATTTACTAGTAATTATTCATAGATACAGATTGCCTAAACAGTCAAAACAGGCAACAAGAGTATCCACATATAAGTAACTGGCAAGCGCCTTCCAGTTATTCCAGATTAATTGGAACCAACACAAATCATTACACCCTAACAAGAAATAAAACTCGTTAGTGTACATTACAAAAAACTCTTAAAATTAAGTTCTGGTTTCATGTTGCACCTATACTTTCAAAATATCAATTTCAGCATCATTAAAAATCTATTACCATATGGATGATTATTTTAGTCCCTTAATTTACATTTGTTAAAATTCTGTCTTTTCATTGCAAAATTCCCTACGTTCAAATAAACCCAACATCGCGAATAACTAAGATTTTTGCGTAGGTTGCACGAGCAAACATGGAGGCTGCCCACGAATACTCAAGGAAAAACGGTGCGCATAACAATCTTGCAAAAATACCTGGACGAATACTTGATTCGACCAATCTCTTCTATCTTTCGCTTCTTTGGCTGCTATAAGCATTTGCCCCCATTCATTTACCTGCATTCACAAGTCAAAACTATAAATTAGTAGATAATTACGTGATTAGTTTTTTTAACATGCTTTAATTAAACACAGTAAATTAGTAAAAAAGAATAAAAAATATCGGTTAATTCTTTTTTACCACGTGAATTGCAGCAGAGCGTACACAATCTTCATTATCTTGTAGAAGCTCAACAGCACGGCGATAACAACCTTCAATAACACTAATATCCTCAAAAACGCTGCCCTTTTTGCACAGCCCTAACAATCCATCCAAAGCAACCTTTCTCACGTACGGGTAAGGATCTTTTGTAAACCCTAAAAACACACTAAACAACACGTGCGTCCCTACGCCTAGCCTCTCTCCATTTCTGAGCAGCCGCAATCGAGTGGAAACCGAAGTAGCAGAAAAACACAGGGACAGAAATAACCGATCATCAATTTCGTTTTGATCAGAATCGGCAATCGAAGCGAGTGAAGTGAGTGACTCTGTGGCAATTTGAGTTGATTCGGCGGAGAGGAGTGAGTCGGTGCGGATTGAGGTGAGGATTTGAGAGGTGAGGTGAGTGCGGTGAGAAGCGAGGTCGGTGAGGAGTTTGAGGATGTGGTGATGAGTTGTGAGTGAGTTGGTGCTGAGTTGGAGAGAGCGAGTTAGGGTTTCCAGGATTGAAGAGATTGTGGAATTGGAGGTGTTCGGGTTGATTATTAGAGAGCGAAGAGAAGTTAGGGTTTGGAGAGAGAAAGGATTGTTTTTGGTGTTGTCGTTGATAGATTGCAGGCACGTGTGAAGCACGTGATGCTCCATTGAATAGCAGCGAGAAGAAGAAGAAGAAGAAGAGAGATGAAAGCGCGCCGTTTGTAGTGCGATTCAAATTTGTGTTTAGAGGCGAAACACTGAAAGGAAATTGAGGGCCACGCGTCATATAGATTCCAATAACACAAAAGCTTATACATTTTAGTCCTCAAAGGTTGAAATCTGACAAACAAGTGCTTAAATAGACAAAAATAATAATAATAAAATATCTACAAAGATACCCTCAGAGCAGATGTCATGTGCAATTTTTAAAGTTCATAGGCTTATCTACTAACGGGTTTTTCTTCATTCATTTGGACTTGAAAAAAGGAATGCAAGCATATGTTTTGAGTATAGTTTCTTCAGGTCATAATAAAGTAAATAATTCCAAAAATGATTTTTTTTTAATCCTTTTATCATTTCTTAACTTCTATCTCATTTTAGCTTCTTGTTATCATCAATGTTTTTATTTTATTTTACTTATAATTTTTTTTTCAATTAAGACATAATCATCGTTCAACAAAGTAATTAAAACAATGATTTTTATCATTTTCGCACTTCTTAACTTCTATCTGATTTGAACTATATCTTTAGGATCTATATTTTTATTTTTATTTTTTAGAATTTTTTCAATTAAGACATAGTAATCATTTAATAGAGTAAAATAAAGCAAAGTTTTTGGCCTCTGTCTTTTGAAGTTCGCACCATAAGAGTGAAATGGTTTGTTATGGTCATTCATTCTAGATGAACTTTGTCAATTGATAACATTAATGTTTTACATTGGTTTATCATTTTAAATTGTTGAAAAGAAAAAAGGGTATTACTTGAAATCACGAAAAAGGAAAGAAAAAAACGACAATAGTTTTATTATCAAAACTGTGAAGGGGCTATCTCAAGAAACAATCAAATTATTATTTTTTAAATGATATGTATAATCTGTAAAGATTTTTTATGCAATCGATCAAGTGTATGTTGTACTCATCTCAATGATGCAACAAGTTCAGCTACATTATCATGTCTCACAAGTTTACATTATTCATAAGATTTGAAACTCAATAAAATATAGCACCACTTTTATCCTAATATATATATATATATATATATATATATATATATAGCTTGTTGTGGGAGAATTAAAAAATAAAATGAAATGGTTTTTTGCTTTCTTTTTTAGCAAGGTATAAAATGATGCATATCATTTCTTATATGCATGCAAAGAAAAAAAATCATTTGATAGGAAAATAAATGTAAGAATTTAAAGCATTTAAATATTAATAATTCAATATAACAACCAACATATTTTTCTTCCAAAATAGATACGTAATTGTTGGTTTTAAACGAATGGTTATTTTGAAAATGATTAATATAATTTAAATTTTGTTATGAAATAATGAATATTTATTTCATATTCTCATTACTTATGTGATTCAATTCATCATTAAATATGAGAAATTAAAAAGATGATGTAATTTATTCAATTATTTATGCATCTTTTAATGGTTCATAATCCTTTCTAATTCTCTTCATAATCTTGAAGCCTATAAATAGGCTCGATTATTCATTAGTTCGTGTATAAGTATTTTGTAGAGATTGAGAGATTATTTGGAGTTGTTATCTCTTGTATTCACTTTATCTTATAGTAAATTCATTTTCCTATCATATTTCTCTTTAATTATATTATTGTTACTATTTCTTTTATAATACGTTATCGGTATGAAATTCTAACCAATTGAGATAATATACCATGAGGTATGTATCTACCAAAAGACTTAATCATTTGTTTCAATGATTGGATTTTTTTTTACACAAATGTTCTACCAAAAGATCTAAATTATTTAGATCATTAAAAGGTATGCCTCTAATTTATCTTGCACTTTAAAACTAATGATACATAGAATATATATTTGAAAAACTTAAATAATCTAATATATAAAATCTAATGATATAATATATATCACTTGAAAAGTTTAATTTTATTATTATGTTTGTTTTTATTTCTCAATGTTATTATTATACTTTGCATCATAAAATTTTTATAATATCAAACCTCACAAAACTTGATTTTGTGACCCTTGACATTTTGGGTAAGAATTATTGATCATAAGTACTTAATGTTGAGTAAATATTGTCTAATTTTCATGTCTTGAATGTGTTCCTACGGTAGCATATTGAGAAAACGAGTTTAAGAAATATTCGAATTGATTTCATACTTACTCGTGCCTAAATAAAATGGCAAGCTATTGATGAAAAAGAATAAATTTTTTCCAACTATATCTACTCCATTCCCTAAAGTGAATATGACAACTTATAATAATTTTGGGCATAGACGAAGATGTGGCCATAGCCATAGATGTGGTCAAAATAATTATCATAATAATTGTGATGATCATAATAATACATCTCTCAACAAGAAGTGGATAAATATGAAAAAAAAATAAGAAAAGAAACAAAAATAGATCAAGTCGGCATTCTAAAAATAAAAGTTCTAGATGTGGCTTGAATGGACATTGGTCATGTACCCGCCGTACACTAAAGCACCTCATCGAGCTTTATCAAACCTCGTTGAAAAAGAATAGAGTAAAATATAGAGACTATTTTATATATAAAAATGGAGGTAATATAAATGAATAACTTGTTAGATTTTCTATTTATAAATAAGATGTTTTATATTTTCTTATAATTTTTATTGCATAGAAATAATTATAAATTTATTTTACTATTTATTTATTTGTGTTTATGAATAATTTATTTATTTATTTATTTTATGTTTACTTATTTTGTGTTAATATTATATTTAATAATATCAATTTAATAGAAAGTTCTAAAAGAGCGATCTTATTATTATTAGAAGAAATAAATTTTTTAAGCTCTAGAAGAGCGAATATATTACTTGAAGATATAACTTTTAAAAGCTCTAGAAGAGTGAATATATTATTACTTGAAGTGACATAATTTAAAAGCTTTAGAAGAGCAAATATGTTATTATCCGAAAGAACGAATTTTATTATAAATGATTTACTATTCTCTTTAAAGTCTCATAGAAATTTATTGAGTTCTAAAGATACTAATCTAAATTGATATCATATCAAGATAGCAAATGTAAAAAAATAATAAAATTAATACTTATATATTATAATTATTATATCGGGTAGAAAATATAAATTGAAAAAATTACTCGCTTTCACTTTTGGTCTTTATTACCAACATTGGAATGATTGAAACAAATGCTGTAGTAAACTAGAAGTTTACTAATTTAAATACTTTTATTATGTAGCATGACCAGTTGTGTTATTTTAGGTCTTTCATAATATAAAAAATTATTAAAAATTCATTTAGACATCTATTGAAGAGCCAAAAAATTCTTTAATTTAATGAATTTTTATGTTACGTATGTTCTCAAAGTAAATTAATTATTAAGCCATCACTAAGTAAATTGAGATTGAATCTTCGGTATTTTTAGAATGTGTTCAAGGTGAGATATATGAATCAATTCATCAACCACGTGGATCATTTAGATATTTTATAGTTTTAATAAATGCATCTACAAAATGGTCACATATATATTTATTATCTATTTGAAACCTAACGTTTTCAAGATTGTCGACTCAAATAATTCAATTACAAACATAATTTCTAAATTAGTCCATTAAAACAATTTACCTTAATAATACTGGTGAATTTGTCTTATAAGTATTAAATGATTATTGATTGGCTATTAGAATAAAGCTTAAACTTCATGTTGCTCATGTTCATACTAAAAAAGGTTTAGCAAAATCATTTATCAAAAGGCTCCAGTTGATAGTTAAACCATTAGTTAAAAATAAAACTCTCTTTTTATGTTTGGGGACATACAATCTTACATGCAACAGGACTTATTCATGTCGGGCCCATAAGTTATTAAATATTCTCCTCTCTTTCAATTACTTTATGGTCATGAGCTAAATATTTCTTATTTAAGAATTTTTGACATTGCGAGTATATATCCGTGGTGCTCCTTCATGATGAACTAAAATAGGCATTTAAAGGAAATTAGAAATATATGTTGGATTTAAATCCTCTTCAATAATTCAATATCTTGAACTATGAATAAAAGATATTTTTACAACTCGATTTATCAACTCGTCATTTTGATGAAAAAGTTTTTTTAATATTAGGAGTGAGAGAATAAGCAAAATAAGCGAGTTAGAAATGTTAAAACAAATATATTACATGGAGTACTCTATCTTATATAATCTTGATCCTCGTACAAAATAATGTAAACTAGAAGTTTAAAAGACAATTCATTTACAAGATATTGTAAACCAACTGCTAGATTCATTCTAAAATTCTAAATCGATAACTAAAATGCATGTCCCTTCGAGAATGCTCTTCTTAGAATTGATGTTCTAGAAGGGCAATCTATTAATGTTATAGTAAATGAATCTAAAGCATGCTTGAAGCATGAAAGATCAATCGGTTCTAAAAGCAAAAATCCCAAAAAAAGGGTAAATAATTAAAATAAAGGATGTAAATATTCATAAAATGGTCTAAGATATTTTTGATAATAGGCTTCGGAAGAAGTCCAAATGCTTGGAAAAAATTAAGAGACTTTGATAAATTATGTCAATACAGGGAGAAAATACGATCGAAAAGAAATATTTATTGATAAGATTTTTGCATATAATGTTTCAATTGATATCTTGAATAAAAATAAGGATCCTAAGCCTAAATTTATTGAAAATTATCAACATAAATATGACTAGCCTAAATGAAAAGTGCAATCCGGGAAGAATTATGTTCTTTTACAAATCGGTAGTTTTTGAATCTATAGTAAAAAAACCCGAAGATATTAAGCCAATAGAATATAAATGTGTATTTATGCAAACACGAAATAAGAAAGATGAGATTGTAAGATATAAAGTAAGACTTTTAACATAAGAGTTTTTATAAACATTTGACATTGACTATGAGAAAACATATCCTCCTATAATGGATGTAATTATATTTTATTATCTCACTAGCCTAGAAAAATA